TTCCCTACCACCAGTGCATTAAAATACAATTGACTCATATTTATTTGAATCAGTGTGACACCACTGCCAATCCCTATGCTAGGTCTGTTGCATCTGCTCTGAGTTGCTGCTAAATGGAGTTGTCCTGATTGCAGGGACCAAGGTGACTGGTTTTCTTATCTTGTTCCTCTGCCATCCCCTGTGAGCAAGTCATCTGCCTGGTATTAAACATCTACTAATCCAGGTATTGCAACAGAAAATGGGTATTCCCCCAAGTACAGCATTGTGCTTGACTTTTTGGGTTTTTGTCGTCCTGCCACATTCCATTTGGGCATCTCTCAAGTAAAATTGATAAGAAATGAAGGAAGATGTGAAAACAGAGGAGAGATGGCCAGAGAGAGTAGGAAGATAGACCCTGCCATAATAATGAAATAAACTTGCTACTGTACTACAGGAATATGAATTTGATAGCGGAAGAATAACCACATCTCTTGCAGTACTATGTAGGTATGGGGCTCTGCAGAACAGGAGCAGGGATGGTGGATTTGTGGAAACTGACAAACACAAGACAACTGGAAATAAGCAACAAACTCTATTAACATCTTTATTTTTTTCTATGATGCCATGAGGAAAATGAAGTTTAACTTTAAAGTTAAAGGTACATATCACAAAAAAATACAGTATATTAAAATGATGCAATGCAAATATACTCACTCTTCTTTCCCCAAAACAATTTTAGAGATCTGCTCTCATCTTCTTGTTGGGAAACCAGAATTCAGGTAAGCAAATGAAAGGAATTCAGGTAACAGAGTGCCAACAGAGAGAGCAAAAGAATGCTGGCTAGAAAGCATAAAACAAGGGATTGGTCTGCACCTCCCGGCACTCCCCAAATACATTTCTGATTGCTTCTGACAACAGGGCAATTGACAAAATATTCTACATCAGGGGTCTCCAATCTTAGCAACTTTAAGACTGGACTCTGGGAGTTGAAGTCCACAAGTCTTAAAGTTGCCAAGGTTGGAGACCCCCTGTTCTAGATTTAATCTACCTTGTAACTGTGATGAGGACAATATTGTATTAAAGAGTATCCTTTATGATACCCTTCAAGGGGCACAACTAATAACAACTTCAGAGTGTTTCACTCACAGCTTGAGATAAGATGAACAAAACAGAACAGTGATGTTCTCACGACCATATTATGCTGGGGGCAATATTGAACTCTAGAGCTTAGAAGAAATGCAACACACCACAAGGATGATGTGTGGCTTCGTTACATTCACAATTCCAACAAAAAATGAATTCCAGCTTCATGGTCTCTCCTCATGCATACATATAACGTTAGATGTTTAAAATAGCCATTAAATGAGTAGAAGTAGATTTTATGCTGTGTTGTAACACCCTTACACTATTACCAAAGTCATATTGCCCATCACTTCCTTCTCTTTTTTTCTTGAATATTCATGCCTCAGAGCAAGATTGCTTTTGCTTAGCAGTGAGAGCAGTAGATTCAAGATTGGAAAGGTTGCATCATTTCTAGTCACCCTCTATGTATGAACATATATCTTCACATGATTCTGTTTCTAGTAAATGCATGAATAAACCACTTGAATATTATTTATATACTGTAGATCTCATGAACTGGATGGTGTTTCTTCCTTCTGATTCTCCTGTGAAATGCATGCCCTGGTCTCATTTTCAAACACAATAGTCATGCACAGGTTTCTCTGGGCATTTCCTAGTCTGCAGTTGTACAAAATTAAGCTTCCCCATGATCTGCAATGGTGCTCTATAAAGCATACCATTGAATAACTTGCAGAGAAGAGGAGGAAGACAGACAAGGCGAAAACTTGGCTCAGTTGCAGAGCTACCTGCCCTCACCCTACTACCCATCCAATCTGTTTTGTAGAAATAACCACAATAGATTACTTTAAGACAGTATTGTCCATTTTTAGTCAGTACTGCTTACCTTTGCTT